TCTTTCTTCCTGGAGTCTTTTTCTCTGTTATGTTATTGTAGGACAGTATACATTTATATATAAATATATTTAACAAGTAATTGCAGTTGGAACACTCTTCAAAGAGCCTTTGGGCACCTCATCAAAGCTCAAAAGGATCCTTAGTTTACATATGTTATCTTAGGCAAATTTACCTAGGATTTAGGCTGGCCTGAGGTAGGAGCTTGGTGGAATTCTGTGAGGATGTGTCATAGCTATTAAAGAAATCATCTCTCTTGAAATGTTACCTCCCAAAATGAAGAAGCAATAACAATTCACTGTGTTAAAGCCCATTCCTAAATCTCACTAAGGCTTTTGAAGCACTCTCCCAACCTCAGAGAATAGAAAAAATGAAATCAGTGCAGCCACAAAATGAGTGATATGTGACTTCAGCTACATAATGAAGCTATTTCAGATGGAGGTTGTCTGGAGACAACTTGCAACCATGCAGAGCACAGCAGCTAAAGGACCTGGTTCAGCCCACCAGCAGTATCAGCAAAACAGATATACAGAAGAGAGTGATTATGGTAAAGGACTAGTTATTGCATATATTACTATTACTCCAGCTCGGGGATTTTCTCAGTTCATCTGAGCTGCACAATTATCATGTTGTGTATCTTGAGTATACATATCATCATCTTAGCTTTCTCCTCCTTGGAAATGGGGTATACAAGGCAGCTGCATACCTTGTATACCTGGGAAATGGGGTAAGTGAAACAGAGAGAGTGGCACTGTTTTAAAAGTTAGTGCACCAAAACCTATGGGAAGCAGGTATATAACTATCTCAGAACCTAGATCTTGATAACTCACCCATAGCAAACATAGTGATGAGAATACAGAAGCAAAACTGAGGTGAGTACCCATCATTGCAGAAGGCTTTCTTGAGGATTCAGCTGAAATATCTGTCAGCCAATCTCTGTGAAACCATAAACCTTTTACATGTGACTGCGAAGCGGGTGAATGCCAGGAATTTTGCAAACCCTGCTAAATTGGTATAATCCAACTTACCCTGCCCTTGGTAACAGCCAGAACAGGTCCTGATTGCTGCACAAGTGCTTACATCAAAGTTTCCAAAAGTTGTGTTGGAGATGAACAGCTGGTATCTTTTGGGAGTTTTTAGTCCTGCTGACATACAGGTCCTGTCCTGCAATCAAGAAATGAAGAATGGTGTGAAATGTATTAATGTTTGAGACACCAGGTATCATCAAGGAGGACAAGATCCATCAGCTGGGACACAAGAATGTAAGATTTAAAACCATGGTTCTCAGTCAATTTACACTATTTGAAAGAATAACAAAAAAAAATAAGGAATCATTTGGAGACAGGAGAAAAGATAACATGATAAAAACAAGAGCAGAACAGGCCATGACACAGGGGTTTTATATCCCCTTGTCTGACTCTGCAAACTTACAGACAGGATGGGAGGAAGGATGAGCTAGTGGGTAATCTGGAGGAGAAAGAGCTGGCAGGAATGCATCTCATGAGGCTGTTGCTGAGGCTTGTAGACACTTTTGCAGGACAACTCTCTAAGTCCATACAAGAAAACCAAGAAATGCAACCCCTGTTAAGGCACTAAAATGTAGACTGAAAATTTGGTACTTTAAAGTGGCATCCTTAATCTTGTTAAGAGTCAGCAGCTCCACTGTGACCTCCGTTATCCTCAGGCCAAGGCACCTGAGGTTACAATCCTTGGGTTATCTTCTTCCAAGTGACTGCTGAGCTGACATCCCAGCCTCCAAATCGCTCCTCAGGACATTGCTCTTAAAAATACTTATGTTTCCCCTTTTTTTTTTTCTTTCTTTTATCCATCTCCATTTCTATCAGTCTTTCCTTTGGCTTCTATGGCCACTGAAGATAGCCATGACACTGATATGTTAATTGTTCAAGGTCCATTTTTCCAATGTCCCGATATTTGTAGATAACAATCATGTTTTAAAACACCTCTTTCAGGAACTGGAAGGGCTAGCAGAGTGGAATATCCAGAGTTCCTGCTTAAATTAATGTCATAAAGTTTTAATTGATATTAAAGAGGCATCATTATTAAAGGCAGAATTACATAAATTAAGATGTAAATTATGACAAGGAGGCTCTTATCATGAGATAATCAAAGATAATCACCCCCCTGGGGTGCTGCAAGAAACAAGGCACAGCTGAGCGCCTCTAAATCTCTTAACAAGTACAACAGCAGAGTTCTATGGCTCAAAAGCAAAAACAAAGATATCCACCCTTTCCTGTCTGAGTGAAATTTGTGGTGTTTTTGAGCCACTGTAAGACTGTCGAGAGCTGGATTTTGTCTAAGTATTTTAGGTAGTTCAACCTGCTACAGAGATTTCTTTCTGAAAGCTTCTAAAGGAAACTCATCTAAACCTCTTCCTCAGCCAGTCATAGGGGAAATGAATTTCATAAACAGCAAGAGAAACTAGAGCAGGACCAAAAAAAAAAAAAAAAACCTCAAACCCATGAATAAGCAGCTGTGGCCATCTGTTACTAAAATCCTGTTGTTATCAGTTATTAATCTGTTAACAACATGGTAGCACCCAGAGGATGTTATCCAGCCACGTAAAGAAATAGTGAAAGAAGATCAGGTTTATTGCATTAATAAAAAGATTGAAGTTAGGTGGCATTTTTATTCTAAAGTAGATATATAGTACTCTGTGTTCTGTGTGGACCAGTGTGTGTAGGAGAGAGCAGAGGAAACCAAAATGTGGACTAAAACCTTTGTTTCCCCTCATTATTCTCAGCTCACTAAACTAAAGATCTCAGTTGCATTTGGTTAAAAGATGTTGGGATGTTGCTGTAAAAGATTTATAGGAATGGCTGTTAGAAGAGGTTGGTCTCCCGCAAGTCATGATTTTTCTTAAAATTCGATTTCTGTGAAATTCTGTTGTTTTTCTGAGACAATGACAATCTTGGAAAAAACACAGCTAAGGAAATAAATTAACCCTTTTCTTGATAAAATCCTCCAGATCAGGAAGCTGTTTCATTTTATTTTGACTCTTCAGTGTTACATTTTAAATATATAAGAATATACATTGCAGTATGTATTGTTCCAATAATTTCAAATTATAATGGAAAAGTCAGAATCTTCTTTTTCAAGGTTATTTAAAAATTCTTCAAAACATATTAAAAAGAGTTTTGCTAAAAATGCTGAATTTTCCTGCAGAACACAACCTCGGAGCAGCTGATGCATGTCAACTGGTATGAATGATGTGCCTGAAAAATGATGCAGGGTCCAGCTAATCAAATGTCATTTCTCTCCTACTAACAGCAGAATTTCTGATTCTAACAGTCTAGGAGAGCAGCACTGATGCTTCACATCCCTCAGCTTTATCATCAAGTCCATGTCCCCCCCATGCAGGGGCTGCTTGTTTCTTCCTAAACCTGGAAGATGCTGTGAGGACTAAGCAACCACATCAAAACCTCATCATTTTTCCAGCTGTGAGTTCCTACCACTCCTTATATAGCATCTGCTTAAAGACCAAGTTTCACTGAAGCTGTCACAGAGCAAGAGCTTTCCCTGAAGTTTCCTTCTTCTTTTCCAAAATTGCTGTTTGAAGAGCTGTGATGCTATACAAGAGACCCTGAAATGATTCCCGGAGTGCTTACCTTTTGCCCAAAGTGTCCAATTAAAAAGCTGTTAGCTACAGAAGTGTTTCCCAGGCTTTCTATTATGTCAATGCCGAAGTCTTTGCAAGCAAAAATCTGGAAACTCTGGAGTTCAAGGTTGCTGCTGCTAAAAATCTATTTAAAAGCATAATAAAGGAAGGAAAATAAAAGACTCTCAGTTATGTCTGTTCTTTCCTCAGTGTAAAAAGAGGAGTGTAAAAACACATAAAGATGTTGAACGTGTATTTATTATTTGAAAATCTCCCCCTAACGCCTTATTTCTGCTTTCGATTAATCAAATATATTCTGAAAACTTATTTTCACATGGAAAGGAATAAGGTATGAAAAAAAAAAAAGGATCTGATGATCGGTAACAAGTAGGGTCAAAAATGGTTTAAATATTGAGGTTTTCATTATTGGAAACAATAGTAAGGTAAAAGGAATTAAGGTTTATAGCACAAAGATGCTTTGACTATATTCAGAAATATTATTTAAGTCACCTAACTGCAAGAATACTCTTCCTAGAGGTAGTCAATTGAGCAAAAACAACATGAACTTGATGATTGTTAATGTATGTTGGCCTAGTAACATATAATAAAATTACAATTTAGGTAAAGTCAACAAAAGTACAAAATGTCTTTTTTTTTTCATCCAAATAAGTTTTTCCAGACAGAGAACATGCCGTCTAACCCTCTAAAACATTGGACACCTTCAAAGAAAGGGCCATCAGAAGAATTAGAGGCTAGAAAACATGATTTACAGAGAAGCACAAAAATCTTTTTAGCTCATCAAACAGAAGATTAAGAGGAGACTTGATTTCATCCTGTAAGTAACCTATACTGGAAAAAAGTTTCGGATAATATCGGGGGTTTTAGCAGTTAGGGGAATAGTGAGCTGTAATAGCCGGAAAGTGAAGCTCACCAAATTCAAATTAAAAAATGGCACATTTTCAACAAGGGGAAAAAATCCCATGGAAACTGTTAACCCAGCAGAGATAAGTTCTCCACCAGCTGGAACCTACAAGTAGCTCAGATCCACTGGGAGGACTTCTGGCTGCGTTATTCCAGTAAACGATTACACTAGAACATTATGGAGGTTATTCCAGTTATTTTTGAAAGTAAGGCTGATTCTGCACTGAAGCATTAAGGAGAGCTTGCATGAACAAACACTCTTCTGCCTTTATCATTAAAACAGAAATCTGCAGCTGAGAGGCATGGACAAACCGCTACAGTTTTTATCATAACTGTGGCCTCTCCCCTGCCTATAAGATGAAGATAGATGGGACACAGGCTCAAAGATCAAATGGTATTTCCCGAGCTCCATAAAAAACAGTGGGAATGAACATACCTGGGCTCCACCTTGATTGCTCCAAGCCGTGAAGCCGTGCATCCGCACAGGGCTGCCCAGGCTTGCTGGCAAATATTCTGGATATACCAGTAAACCACTCCTATATAGCAGAGAAATCAAAGGAGAATGTTTCTCTACAGTACACCTATTTATGGCCAAATTTTCCTCTTCATCCTCCCAAACCTTAAATGTGCAACAGCTCCTGTTGCAAGACATTACTATTGACTCAAAACCAAAAGACTTGGGGATACAAGTATTCGTTGTAGGCATCTAATAATACCTGCAATACTGGACCCGCTGACTTTTAACATGATGTCATTTCTTTCTCTGATTCTATTTTAGAGAAGCTAAAGGGCTCGGGTAAATAGCTACTTTTGGATACTACAAGAAAAAACTGTTATATATAATATCTGATATGCATATAGTGCCCCTTATCCTGGTTGACATAAAAATGCTTAGACTCCATTTCAATCAGGTTAATCAGCTGAACTCTACAATTTGAGTAGTTGTGCTGCTATTATAGAAAGCATCCAAAGACAGGAAATGCCATTTCAGGTCCTGTAACCCTGCATCATGTTTCTAACGGCAGCCTGTAACAGATGCTAACGGAGAAGCCTAAGAAAAAAAATTGTGCTATCTGTTCTCTTGCATCCTATCCTCGTCTGCTCAAAACTCCTGCAATACCCAAAAATGAGCTTTAAATTCAACACAAGAGCACATGCCTAAGTAAGTGCTTTGCTGTTAAATAGTTGCCTAAAAACATGCTAATGATGCACCTTAACCTACTTCAGGATCATTTTACCCTCTATTTAAATAAGGGGCTAAAGTGGAACTGCTGATAGCAGCACAAGGGAATGATGCACGGTAAAGAACTGGGCTTGTGAATGAAAGCAAAAAAAAAAAAAAACAGAAAAAAAAGGCTGAACGGAAGCTAAAAATGAAACAATCGACATGCAAAGCAAGCCGTGGAACATAGTTGTGACCACAGCACTGCCAAACACCGATTCTGTTTGCTAGGGAGAATTCTGCTTAACAAGGAGGACAATCCCCAGAAGAAAACAAAATTTGGGGAAAACAAAGAAAAAAGAGAGAAAAAAAAAAGGAGAGAGATTGGAGAGGGTGCTCCTATACGTAGAAGCACCAGGAAATCTCTTAAAGCAAAGATATCCGAGTACCTTGTGCAGGAATGGGCTACGTTCTCACTAAAGGAGAGCAGAGGTATCCTGGATGGTCCCTCAGGGTCAAGATGAAACAGATACCCATACCCAGCAGCACACACCATGTTCCCCTGCAGAGAAGCATATGCAACTGTTAGAAAAATACACCCTGGGTTTCTGGAAATTAAAGCCTGTGTGGCTGGCAGCAGCTGGTAACTTTTTTCTGTGTCCAAAATCCCTCACTGTTTACCCCTTGTCCTTAAGTCACTCTCCCAAAATCCCACTCTCAAGCCAGGTAATAGAGGTTGATCAAATAATAACAACATGTCACAGCAAAAAAAGGGCTTCCACAAGAAGTAGGTAAGGAAAAAAAAAAGGGAATGGGGAAAATTTCTTGCCTGCTGTAAAATCCTTTCTAACTAGAAAGGTAATGCCATGAATGAGAGGTAAATCATAAACATTCAGTTTACTAATCTATTTTTCAGTGTGAAATTTCAACTTGAATTTCAATCTGAAATTTCAATGCTTCCCCCGTCTCCAAAAGTAAGTACAGCAAATTGGAAAAAACATTGGTGATAAAAAACAAGACTCTTAAAAGTCAAGACAAAGCAGAGAACTACATCTTCAGGATATATCAATAGCTGGAAGTGCAAATAAAATTAATCTGCAATAAATTTAAGGTTTTGTCTTCTTTTTAGCAGGACAACTGTGGGAAGATGTGCTTTAGGTTACTATCATTCAATATCTTTGATGTAGAAATTCCTGAGTTGCACTTTTTTGCATGCTTTGTATTTGTGTGCAGTTGTAAGAGGTGAAACAGAAGTGATCACAAAGGCTGCCTTGCCTTGAAATGAGCAGGTTAATGCTTATAGAGTCAAAAGGAAGGGGATTATGCAGGGGGGTGAATGGTGGTAAAGGAGCTTTTCTGCTCTAGGGCAAAAAACTGCTCTTGCCCCCATTTGGACTGAAGCCAAAAGTAGTTCTTTTTGGATGGCGTCTATCATATGGATGATCCCCCTTTACTATCTTAGGTGTCTACAGATTTGATGCTGAAGTCCAGGCTGGTAAATCTGGGCTTACTGTGTATGGCATAGGCATATCCAGAGGGCAGTTCATCCCATCTACCCATGGATAAGATGGATTGCTCTCTGGAGACACCCAGCTCTCTAAGGAGAGCTTGTTCAGTGAGATCAGGACTGGCACCCACCAACCACCATCTCACAGGTCACCGGACAGTGGTAAAACAGTAATGGCTTTTTGGTCCCTGATGACCGAAATCAAAGTGAAACTTTGTGACCTCGAGGTGAAAGCCTCCATATTCCAATTACTTTCTTGTGACCCATCCGAGTGAGTTCCCTGCAGTCCTGATCTCTGACATCCGTCAAGCAACAAAGAGATATCAATAACCAAAGCACAGCTCTCTATCCCCTGGCAAAGCTGCTGCTTAAAAAAAAAAGAAAAAAAATGCCCAGCCACAGAGCATTTTCCTTTAACAGAATACTCTGCAGTCCAGTCACATTATTTCCAGGATCTTTTTACTTGTGACTCCAATCGTGCATTCTACAGATGATTCATAAGGAAAAACTGCATATTTATTCAGCCAGATAGTGGCTGGAGGGCAGGGGTTTTAGGCAAGCAGGGAATTTTGCGTGGAAATCAATTCTTTGTGGAAGTCAGTATATTACGAATGTCCATGCAACCAAAATTCCAGAGAGAAATTACCTCCCCAAGCATGCCAGATACCTGGAGGTATGCACTGCGAGTCAATATAATAAAGTGGCTAACGTTTTAAGTGTATCTCAACTGTACAACAAGGCTAACGTGAGTATTTCATGGATTTCTTTAGACGCCAGGATTCACAGTGCTGACCTTTAAGGTGACATTAAAGCTCCCTGTCTCTCCGCTGTGGACAGCAGGCCCCAATTTCAGAACCTGCCAGGATAGGGGGAGTTTTCCTAACGGGCCAAATTTAGCATGCACTCACTTTGCAGAAGATTTTAGAAAAGATCATGTGGGGAATTAAATGATGAGGAAAAAATGGATATTAAACAGATCTTCTCCTCTTTGGTGTTATGGAGAAATTGTCTTATGACACTATAAAGTGACAATCACAGCTTTCATGCTTAATCAAAAAAATATTACCCTTGTCAGAATCATTTACCACTTATATTTTATTATTATAAAATTTCATTTTATAATATTATATATATAAAAAATACATATTATAAAATTTCATTTTATAATAATAAATTTAAGTAAGAACCAGTAGGAAACAGGTCCCTGAATGTCTCTTCAGGCTTAGGTTTGAGTGAATGCTATGTCCCAATATTCTCACACTTTAGGAAATCCTTGGTTTTCAAGGAAAGTTTCAAGGATAGTCACCAATGCAAATTTAGGCTCTGAAGTAATTGGAGCAGTTGTGTAAATGTTATATTGTTATTATTTATTAATGACAAGCTTAACCCATTGAGAACAGATGATGTAACATAATCTGATCACAGGTCTCAGTCAATTTTAGCTGTCATCTTTGTCTTAAAAATTCTTAGAAACCAGGAAAACAGGCAATGGCAATATGAGTCTTTCACTTTATGTTCTTTCAAAGTCCCCATTCAGTTTTAGATTTTACCAAACCAAACTACAGCTTTTAAAACATTTTGATTAGAATAAAAAGGTGCCTAAACTGTAGAACTTCATGGTGCTGGCACTGGACCAGCATTACTTTCATTTACTGAGTTATTATCATGCTAAAGAAGAGTGCAGACAACAAAAATAAGAACAAATCCAGCACTTTGCCTTAGAAATGGTATGGGTCTATCTTCTAATACTCATGTCCTACCATGTCTTCTGCTAAACACCACTTGGTATTGTAGGACAGCACAGTTAATAACAATAATATTAAGTTATACAGATAATAATATTAAGTTGGCCAATTTTTTATTTGTTTCTGTTAGAGCCAAATCTGCTGCTGCTGCAACACCTCGAGTGGCCTCCTGTAAGAGGCTGCTGGCAACGAGGTCCATCTTCAACCCTTCGAGGGCCATGTGCTGCTCTGGCTGGAGTGATACATCTTCGGAAAACCGACCGTCGTCACTTCACCCATACCAATAATTGCAACAACCTCTTTGAAAAGCGGAGCCACGGGCGATTTAGCAGACAGCTCCAGGGTAAGTCAGGACATGATACAACAAAACTCTGTGTTTAGTGGAGCTGAAACTCATGCAATTCCGCCTAGTTGTTGCATTTTTAAACCATATTTGGTGGTCTTAAAAATGATAAATATGCCCTCTGGGGACTTACAGAAAAGTCATCTCCTTCTTCCTAAGCGCTGCTGTCTTCAGAGCAACATGGGAAATGTGTAGGACTCTTTTTTAACCTTCAGATTTAGCTGCAATTTTTCCCTCCTGGAATAGAAGCCCAGGGGGCAACTAGGTCTTTACATACACTTAGTAATTGCTTTGGTTTCTGTGGGGTAGCAATAGAGCGGTTAGATTTTTTTTTTTTTTTGATGGAAATGTGCATTTGTCACATCTGAAAGTATGGTAAGAAAGGTCAGTTTCAATGAATTTCCAGACTTGAAATAGTTGGAGAGGAAAAAATAGTTTGAAATCACTGAAAATTATACATTTTTTTTCTCAGAAACATTTTTAAATGACTCTCTGTTCTGAAATGTCAGTGACTTGAATAAAAGAAGAGGAAAAATATGTGAACTTCAAGAAAACATCATAGAATTAGTGAATGAAATGACTTTTACCAGGTTTAACTTTTTTGTGGGAGGGTTATTATTTTGTAAGCTTTTAATGATTACAATGTTTTAGCATTATTTAGACTAAATAAGTTGCTTGCTTTGAAAGTCAAAGTCATTTTCACAGGAAAAGGAAAGAATTATTCTTTTTCTGACCTGGAATGCAAATCTTGGACTGTGTATACATTGTCACTTCGAATTGAGGCAGAAGTACATTTGATATTGCTGAATCTTCCTGTGTTAATCATCAGACTCTTAGAACTGTGATTTTTTGTATTATAATGATAGAAGAAGAAAATAATCTAGCCATTAGCTGAACCTAAACTTTTTTAAAAAAAAAAATGAGTCCACGATTATTAAAAAATAAAGCAACTTTAAAAATTGTCCCATGACAAAGGATCACACATCAAATGTTTCACACCACTTCAGTAAAGTACAATTTCTAGTAACGATAAATTTCCCTATAAATATTATTTATTTTGTAATGTGTATTTCTTTTAATCGAAAACAGTTTTTGACAGCATAGCCAAGAAGCAAACATGCATATAAGCTCTGAGAGAAATGAAGGTCCTTATCTTTCTGATATCTCTCATTAGAAAGGGTATCTTCTCTTTTATACCTGAATTTCTCACCTCTATGTGGTTGGCAGGAGCCCTGATGTATATCCCTGCTGGTGACAGTGTTTCAATGCTGGATAAACCGTCTGTTCCAGAAAGGCCAATCACTAAATTGTTACTAACTGTGTTCCCCTTTTCCGGTCCCTCTCCTAAAAAGAAAATAAAAGAATAAATACATACATATATATACATATAGTTGAAAAACCCTTATTGTGCAAATTATTGCACAACTTTCCAGGTTTTACCCTGCTCACTGTGCTGGCTTGCTCCATCTGAGAAGCTGTTTTGTTTCACTGTCCCTGTATATGTCAGTATTTGAAATGGACTCAGGAAGCTGTTTAACACAGTTAGTTTAACAGTCAGAGTAAATTAATACTATATATTGCACAGAGGGGCAATACAGACCATGATTGTGTAATTCAATATGCACAAGACTGTCTATCAGGTCTTATATATAAAGCATATAGCAGACACACTCTACACCAGGTTTATAGAGAAAATGAATAAAGAAGTTATTAGAAAACACATTTTTCCAGATGGCAAAAAAAGAGACTGAGTGTGAGGAAGCGACTTACCTGTGGACATTTTGGCAATGCTATAATTCAAACATCTTATCCCCTGTGTATCTACTGCCCCACTTATATGTAAAAAGAATCTCAAACAGCCTTTAAAACACCCAGTGCAGCTCTGCACCAAGGTGTTTCCCCATACAAACCTAAGCAGTGAGGCACAAGAAGAAAAAGGAAACATCAACTGACCAAGAGATCACAATTCAGTCGTGGGGTCCCACAGATCTAGTTACAGCACAGAATAGTAAAAAATTGATTGGTTTAATCACCACCCTAAAGAAATGGTGACAGTGACCCTAAAGAAATGAGTGACAAGAACTGGCAAGCCCTTGACAGAAGAGAAGTCTGGACAAGGGACAGGCTCCAGCCAGCATCGGGGACATCCCCACTCCAGCACACAAAACAGACCATCTCCGTTTGGCCATCCACCACCTGTTACAAATAAAATCTATTTAACTACTATTGAACACAAATGATTACCTTCCGCTATAAAAGCCCCAGTTCTATCCCATGCACAGATCCCATTACCAGTCCCATTACTTTGGGTTTGTGGAGTAATTGCTTCTAGGCTTCTCCTCAATCTTTTCAGACTTTCTCCATTTTTGGAACAAAATCCATTTAGGAAATATTTCCTTTCTAGACTGTATTTACTACAAACAATGCAACTATCAGAGCATAACCAGAGTCCTAAAGCAGTCTTTTCTACAGTCATATAGGTTTGAGAGGAGGCACAAAACGTCTTGGCTTCCAAGATGAGATGTTGTATGTGAATTAATTTCAAGCCCAGAGCAACTTTTTATGACTGTCTTGCAAAACCCTTGAAAATGAGGGTTTTAGATGAAATCACTGAGGGAGTCTAACTCTGGAGACACAAACAGCCAGCTATAATACATATGCCTTCACAGGTAACAAAATGATATATAAATTCATCCATCAGAACCTCCGGAGCTGCTAACAGTGAAGCCATTAAAGACTTCTTGGGGATAAGGTGTATTCAGGCTGAAACCTCCGAGGAAACATCCAGCTCAGCTCAGAGTCCTTTAAGTCAGACACATGTACTAGCACGATCGAGCAAAGGCGTCCTGAGGATGGAGATCATGTTCTGCTCCCTCACTGCCACGAGGGCCCCATGTGTCACCTTGGGCAAGACGTTGCACCTCTCTAGGCCACTTCTCTTTGTCTGCAAGATGTGTACAGTCACTCTCCTTTTAGAGTTCCCTCCTCTGTTTAAATTGCAATCTATCACATCTCATTATGTTTCTATCTAGCATAGGGCCTCTCTGTGCGAGCTGAACTGCAGGATCAGGACTGAAGGGCTTATTTTTTTTCTTTTTAATTTTAAAATTGGTCATTTTCATTCCATCTTTGATGGAAAACAAAAATCAAGCAATATCTTTAAGTATTCAGGCGATGCAAGATCCCAGCAAGTCAGTCTCCTGATGGTTAGTTAGAAGAAATATTTGTTGTTTAGCATTTTTGTTGCTCCAAGCTCCAATTTATTTAAGCGCTAAATCCTCTGCTTAACTTTTAACATATGCTTTCACTCCATTATCGGCAATGCCAAATGACTAAGTTAAAGGTAAGTATGTTCTTAAATGCCTCACTGAACTGGAGTCTTAAACATTACTTAATGGTGCTCTTCTAAAGACAGATAAATCAATTCCCTAAAAATAAAAGGGGAACTAAATCAAGTGAAGGCTGACCAGAAGGAATAAGCAGAGTAACAAATGGAGATAAATCCTAAGCATTGCATGAGGAAGCCTGGGAGCTTTAATCCAGATTCACTAATTCTAGAAAATGTGGAATGATGGATTTCATCCATCCATACTATTTTTTTCTCCAGAGAGACATCTTCACACAAACAGCAATCAGAATATTTGGCTGGACATGGTGGACAGATATATTCCTGCTTCACTTACCCAGAAGAATCCCATGGCCTGAAATGTTACAGAAAATATTACTGTCCACTGTAAGGTTCGAGATCCCAGTCAGATGGAGTCCTTGGCCAAAGGAGTCCAAAATGCAGGAGCCACGTATGTAGGAGTCTGGAAAGAAAAGAATAGTGTCAGGAAAAAAAAAAAAAAGTGATTTTGAAATTTAGGACAATTTCACACTGCACTCCCTGATGCTGTGCAATTAATCTATTCTGTTTCCATGAGATTGCTTGTTCCAGTTGCCGATTCTTACCCAATTTTGCGGATCTTTGCCCACGGTTGGGCATTGGCAAAGGGGAAGGTATAGGTGTAGGTTAGTTAGAGGAAAAAAAAAATCTAGTGTCCTTAAAACACTACTGTAGCCTACCTAAGTTCCCCAATTAGCACCACCCCTTAGAGTCCTCCCTGCCACTTCCACTGAGGTGAGTTTTGCATTTACTAATGACAAACTCAGAACAAGTCAATGAGTTCTTCAACTTTCAGGTGACAGGATTAATTTTGGCATACGTCGCCCAATAGCCCTAAGCCACCTCTGAGCTCTGCCACAGTATTTTAGTACTTCATTTCCGGACCTTGAAGTTACAGACTAACTCAAGAAGTGTGGCATAAAAATGAAATATTACATTAGGAAGAAGCCAGACAGAGATATAAAGGAGGGTTAAAGCAATTCTTCAAGTTTCACTTGATTTAGACTCCAGTGAAGATTTCTCATATTTACCCAGCCAATTTTTCAATGGTGCCCTGAACCATAAGCTGAGCAGGCTGTCAAGAAGGTCTGCACCAACTCTGGGCAGGAGAAGGTGGACATGAGGGATCATTTGGCCCCATCTCCAGCACTGTCTCACCTGCCATCTGTGTGTTGCCAGTGATGGTCAGGGCGCTGTGGTGCTGCTGAAACGCCTGGCCCATGTGCCGAAATTGGACCCCTTCCACCCAGAGGTGGTTGTCCTCTCCCTGGAAGGCCTCCACAACCACCATGGCTCCCAGATCCCGAGATCCCAGCTTCCTCTCACTCCTCTGGTACAGACACCTGGAGCCATCTGAAAAACAACCCACAGAGAGCCATGAGTGTCACTTTTCCCTAAAAAACGTGGTATGTGCAAAGGTCCCCAAACCATGTCACAAGAGCCACCACACTGAGCTGGCTCCTTTCATCTAATATCGCTGTTTCCAGCAGCAATCATGCCTAAAGACACATAGCCACAGGCAAGCGTATTTGATACTCCCTCTAAGTACCCTCACAGTTTCTTCCCTAAAAGTCAGC